AATAAAATAAAATAAAATAAAATAAAATAAAATAAAATAAAATAAAACAAAACAAAACAAAATAAAATAAAATAAAATAAAATAAAATGGAAATGACTGGAAACAGGAAAAAAAAAAGAGCAAGCAATATAGAAAAATAAGTGACTTTTTGTCTCTAAAAAAGATTTTTGTTCTAATAAGCCAAGTCTGTATTACACTAACACTGTGCCTAGGAGTCATGTCTTACCAGCAAGCAGTGATTCATTCTTATGATGAGAGGATGAGAAATTAAAAAAAAAAAAAAAAAAAAAGGAATTTTAAGGTAAAAATAGGCTACTTCCAATAAGAAGTGAGAAGATGCCAAACTGAAGCTTAGTTTCTAACTAACTGCATTTTACATGCAGTTATTTAATATCCTAAAGCATTTCTGGTAACTTGTGTTTACATGTGTGTGTGTGTGTGTGTGTGTGTACAGGCATGCGTGCACCATGGCATGCATGTAGATGGCGGAGGATGACTAAGATCAGTTTCTGCCGTCCACCCTGTTCTGAAGTCGGTTCTCTTCTTGACTCACAAGCTCCTAGACCCTGTTACTGCACAAGGCCAGTGTGGTTCCTCCCCAGTTCCTTGATAACTTCTTAAAAATATGACTTCTACAGTTAAAGAAACGAAGAATCACTGCTTGTAGTTTCACTGACAAGAGCAAAACAGTAAGAGAAATGGAATTGCTTGCCTTGTAACAGCAGCTTCTCCTTTTCTGGCCACTGCCACAGGTACAAGGCTGAGAGGATGTAAGGATCAAAGCTACATCTTCTGCTTCTAACACTGTTTGATAAACAGCTTTCTGGAAGTCTGTCAAAGAGCAATATACCATCTGTAGACAAAGGAGAGGACAATTGTTAGGATTTCTATAGCGGTGAGATCAATCACTACAATGTCCACTAGATTAGATGAGGATAACAGTGCAATCACCTATACTAACCACCTCTACTTGTATCGTTATGACAATTACTCCCCATTCTCTTTCATTCTCGCTCCTTGCCTCATTTTATATTGTAAAGTATAACAGACCATCATCTCACTTTTAAATCTGTTCTTGTTTCCACTTAAAAGAAAAAAATAACATGAAAACAAATAATGTGACTTCCTTAAACATTCTCAGTATAGGGTCTCTTTAGAAGTCTGTATCAGTCCATCATGCAAACAAATCACAATAAAACAAAAAGATTTTAGAACATTGGTATAAATAACAAATACTACTGAAATACTAAAAAACTGACAAAACAAAACAAAACCCTAAAAGCTTCATGTTACTTTGGTTGTTTGTTTTGAGTATCTAAAATTCCTAAAATTAATAAAGACAAGAATTAAATAAATATAGGCAAAAGCAAATATGATTTGCTATTATTGTATGTTCAATTTCAAGGACAAAACAAAACGTTACAACAAAACAGTGCCACCAAGTTATACAAGGAACACAATTTCCTTCCAACTTCTGGCAGCACCAGAAATTAATAACATTCTCCTATATGTATGTACCCAAAACAGGCCACAAAGAATGTGAACAATAAAAAACAGTCATCAATTTTTAAATGTCTATAAAACTACAGTGGGACAGTATTACAAAAAATAAATGCATTCAATGAATACTGGAATGTCTTAACACTAGAATTTAAAAACTACGCCTACAGAATACAACTACTCCTTGATGCTCAGTCTTGAATATAAAAGAATGTAAGAGAAGCAGGAGAACACAGAAGATGTCAGTCAGTAACTACAAGGTAGAGGATAGTTATATTAGTATTCAACACTAACAGTTACTAAGTGTTTCTCACATGTCAGGCATTTCAGAGCAACCACGTGAAGCCCACCCACTACCATTGGTTCCACTTAACAAACAGCAGTGGTCTCTGTAAGCTGCTCAACTGAGAAAACCCTTTAACTGGGAGAGCCAGAGACCATGTTCTAAATCTTTAGGTACTGTTCTCTCCTGATGCATTTTGTTTGTATTATTCCTACTGGACAGACAATGTGCACACAGGCACATAACCCTGCATGCAATATTGTAAAAAGCAGAGTTTACAAAGTACTCCAAAATAATGGTATTTGCTTTAGATAAATATCAAAAGTCCCATAATATCAATTTTCGTTACTTCCTTACTACAAGCAATATCTACAGAAAGCCTAAAAGAAAGAGCTTCCAGTCACTCCAGTCCTGTAAGAATGAAGATGCCCAAGCACACGGAGCAGTAGTGTGTGTGTGTGTGTGTGTGCACTTGCAAAAGTCATTACAAAGGGAAGCTCTTCCTAGTTCCTTAAGAAAGAAACTAATCAAAGCTTTTATAAGACATGAGTATTTGATCTGATTTTGTTTGTTTGTTGAGTAAGGATTTCACTGTATAGACCTCACTGACCTGAAACTCACTATGTAGACCAGGCTGGCCTGAAATCGAGATCCAACTGTAAGCAACTACACCTGGCTTAAGACATGCATTAAACACATGGTGCCATGTCTTGGATCTCAAAAGGTCGGACATAGGCGCATAGCCAAAACCCAGCTCACTGGCCTTTGGTACCCCTGGGAAGTGGTGGAGCCTTTTTAACAAGGAATTTGGGTCACTGGGGCTGTGTCCCTGAAGGGGACATTGGGTTCTTGGCCCTTTCCTGTGTCTTTTTACTTCCTAACACTGTGAGGTAAGAGCTTGCTCCACCATGTTCTTTCTCAGGCCACAGGCCCAAAGGACCACAGACTAAAACTTATAAAACCAAAGTAAACCTTTCCTTTTTGTTCAGTGATTTATCTCCAGACTATGCCATGGAAATAGAAAGCTAACTAACACATGTACTAATTATAGGCTCATTAGCTCGAAGGTCAGTAAAATTAGGAAAGAAATAAAACTGAGCTCAATTCATGTTTTCTGAAATCCCACATGGAACAAATTAAGTCCACAAAAGGAATCCTAAAAAGAAATGCTTCTAGGAAAAAAAAATGTGATGAGGAATTAATAATACACAAACATGCAGTTCTTACCCTGTCTTCTTTTTTAGGCAGCTGGTCCTTGATAAGAGTCTTGGTGCGCCTGAGAAAAGAGCCAGACATCTTTTTTGCAAGCCTGTGCATAGCTTTTCGGCCAGTAGCAAGTTCTCTCTTAGTTGCTGTATGTCTCTGGCCATGTTCCACTGGGTCCGAAAATTGCTTTTTGAACTGGATCCTGCTACCTAAAAGTCCTGGCACAGCCCTTCAGAAAGGAAGAAAAGAAAAAAAAGAAAAGAAAAATTTGAGAGGGGAGGAGAGGAGAGGGAAGAAAAAAAGAAAAAAGAAGAAAAAAAGAAAAGAGACGAGACAAGACGAGAAGAGAAAAAAATTATCTAAAAAGAAATGCATTCAATTCCTTTGCTTGTAAGGGCTTACTTATTAATGACAACAAAAACAAGACCCAGGAAAACAGCATTCCTTTATGACTGTTTATAACTGAAGATGATGAACTGGTAGTTCAGCATTTATTTACTCTGGGGATTGATAGGAACATGCTAAGACTTTTAACAGGACCTCTGACACTGAAACATGCTTGGAAATGGACATTTCTGTAAATACTTAAGTAACAAGTTTTCTGGGAAAAGGGCCGAGATTTAAAGAACAAGCAATCAGAAAACAAGGCAGCATTCACCTATCCAGAAAACATGTACCATTTCACTCACCAGTCCATAACACACCACAGCTCCTTCATGTTGTTCTGAAGGATGGTACCAGTGAGGCCAATACGGACCTTACACTTTACAGCCTTCATGACTTCCGTAACTCGTGCTTTTGGATTCTTGATCCTATGAGCTTCATCTACAATAATAGCTGACCATTCCAAACTATGGGGAAAAAAGGGAATGGGTGGGTGGAAAAAAAGGCAGAAATTTTCCTTACTTTAGTTTAAAACATTTAGACATCATTTTTCCCCCCTAACACCTTCATTCTTTAGTGATTCTACTGAGTTCTCATTTGGCTAAGTGACTCCAGGTCAGATACATAAAGAAAAAGTGGAAAATGAAAAAAAAATATGTGATGTTGTAAGCCCCAATATATTGTATATGATAATATAAAAAGCTTTAGAGGTCATGTTTGATAATGCTGGAATAAAACTATTTAAACATCATTAAATGACAATTCCTCCTTTAAGTAACAAACCAGAAAGACACATAAAAGAAACAAACTTTGTGTTAAATCTGAATGAAAAGCATCGATATAAGCATCAGTATTTTGTGAAAGTTGTAAAGAACAGTTTACTAAGAAGGTGAGTGCTGTGACCCCAGTAGTGATGAGCAAAAAGAACAGGTGCTATGCATCAGTGGAAGATGGCTGCTTTCAGGAACCTGGCAGAAATGCTTAGGAGCCAAAGCCAGGATAAATGTCCAAAAGAACAGGAGCCAGTCTAATTAGAATATTGGAGCATCAAGAATAACAATTGGGTATAAAATAATTGAATAAATAAAAACCTAGGACTTAAAGGGAAAAAATCAGATACCATATGTAAAAATGAACTTAAGATATATTATAAATCTAAATATGAAGAAAACTATAAAGTTTATAAAACAGAGTAATCTTCCTGATTCTAGATCAGACACAAACTTCTCAAAAGTTTTTGTGATAAATTGGATATTGTCAAAGTTACAACCTTTTGCCCTTCTGAAGACACCATGTTGTTGGAAATAAATGGTAGCAGGCTAAATATCATTTATTATTAGCTCTATTATTATTATGGCAGTATTATCTAACCTGCTATTATTATCAATAAGACACAAACACCTGTTAGAGTCTATCATTGCCTTATAACACCTTGTGCTTGACAGATAATTCCACCTATGCTATCTCAATAACTCATCCACCACCCAGCCCTCATCCAATGCCATCTGCCTTAATAATCCTTATCTGGGCTATCTTCCATCTATAGTCTTATAAACACTTGCTTATCCTTCATCTGGATCACTCCTTTCATCTATACCACTTTCAGACTCCTTCCTCCCAGCCCAGGTGGTTCCTTTTTCTTTCAATAGCCCATCATGGCTTCCTCCTCTTTACTCTCTTCCCTCTGTCTGTCTCCTTCCTGTGATTCTCCTCTTCCCAAAGCCCTGGAACCTATGCCACCCTACCGCCTTCCACCCTGCCCAGGTACAGGCCTTTTTTTGAAACTAATCAGAAATGTCTTAGGCATGTGTTGGTATAATGTTCTTTTGAAATGTATACACCTTACCCTTGTTCATTCAAATGCTGATTTCTCTCCCCCACTCTCTGGTTTCAATCAGACTTTGCATTGTGATACTTATTCTAAGCATCACCTGTCTCAACTTTGTGTAAACATGACAAAATAAAGCAACTAGCCACAATGTTGAGCAACAGAAAGGAAGTAGGATGGAGGAGCCAGAGGACAGGAAGGTGGGAGGCAGAGGAGGGGGAGAGAAGGGAAGAGGAGAGCTGGGAAAACAGAGGCAGGAGAGAGATCTTGGAACAACATGGAAAGATGGACTGGACCTAATATATCATTAAAAGCAAGTATAATGTGGGACATCTAAATGTTAGGAAAATGTGAAGGCTTGGAGGTTTAGGATGGAACAACCTTGAAGGCCAGTAATTAGCATCAAAATACAAACATCAGACCAACCCCCAAACCCATTTTCATTAAGAAAATGAAAGGCAGACTGAGAGAAAACATCTGCAAATTATAATCAGATAAAACACCTGTATATGGACTATACACTACAACTCAATAGCCTAGTCAAAGACGGGCAAATAACTTGACCTATCTGAAAACACACTAATTGCAAATCAAATATATTACATATAATAATATAACTCAAAACAAAACTGCTACCATTGTAGACTTACTCATTAGTTTAACTTCTTCAATACAATCAGGCATTCATTTACTTTGCTTTAAGTTAAAATTGTATCTAATTACTAATCAATGAGACTCTTCTTTATAGAATACCACTAATAAGATAAAAAAATTATGCTGTAAGACTCAATAACATAAGTGATTCAAGTAAGGATAGTTTTAATATGACAACTCATCTATATAAATAGAAATAAGAATCAAAATACTTAAAACAGTAGTCAAATATCACTGTATAGATTTGTTATTGTAAATGGAAGACCCTATTTTGAAAGTATTATTGTACAGATGCTTCCCTACTTATCCTATCGGTAAATTTAGTGTCATTAACAATGAACAACATGGCATACCCCAAAGTAACAACTATGAAGTTCACAGCAACATTCATAAAGCATCCTTGTCAACAATGTTACCTGAATCTAACAAAGCTTTTACTCTAGGCTCAGTTAACTGAAATACAAGTAATAATGGGGATCATTGGAGAAAAGACTTAATAACCAAAGTCACCACCCAAACCTTTACTGAATCCTGCTGTATAGATATCAGCTATGGATAATTTTTAAAAGTTTAATTGCCTTTTTGTTTTCACCTCATCTTTTAATCTTCTTATTACTTTCCTTTGTGAATATATGTATGTATGTACCTGCGTGGGTACACATGCATGCATATTCATGTAAACTTCAGATATCATTCCTTAGATGCTGTCTACCTTGTTTTTAGAGACAGGCTCTCTCCTGGGAGTTGCAGGGATCTACCTGTCTCCACACCTGCAAGTGTGTGCCACCATGCTCAGTCGATTCTAGGAAATCAAATGCAAGTTCTCATGCTTCATAGCAAGCACTTTACCAAGTCGCCTACCCATATTACAGGATAATGACGTATAGAGAACAAACAGTAACTTAGAACAATATTAAACTATTTACAGCTCACACTGTCATTCTATGTGAAACTTACTGAAGTGATTCACTAGTGTACTCAGACAAAGTATGTATACATGTGTATATGAACACACACAAGCATACATAGATATACACAAAAAGATCTGTTGGCTCTAACTATTAGTAGATAGATACTCATACACATTTGTCCAACTTTTTTTTTTTAACAGATTTCTTATTTAAAGGCACAAAAAGATAGAACTCTCAAGAATATAAGAAATGGAAAGATGGACAAGATGACTCAGAAAAGCAGAGAAAAACAATCTGTAGGTCAGCAGCAGAGCAAGCCAAGGAGCACTGTAATGCATTATGTGTAGCTTCTAGAAGCTCAAGATACTGGATGACTCAGGAAACTGGAGTCCCACAAACACGTAACAGTTTGCTCAAGAAGTGGTTGGATCTCATAAATAACATCCACTCTAACATATAGACATGAAAGTTATTCTCATGCAAGGAAATAAAAGGCAAAGTATGGCAAAATCTTAATTTCTCCTAAGAAATTGACAGATACAGAAAATTCATTAAAAATTATAGCATAAATATGCTGTTCGAGATGTGGATATAAAAGTCAGGCATGGTGATACTTGTAATCCCAGCACTCAGAAAGTGAAGGCAGGAGAATCAAGAATTCAAGGCTGGCCTGAGATACACAGAAAAGTTTGGCTAGCCTGGGTTAGATGAAATTATCTCAAAACCAAACCAAAATGAACCAAGGAGGAGAGTAGTGAGGATGAGGAGAGGAAGGAAGGGTGAAGGAAAGAGAGAGAGACAGACTGACTGACTAGTGTCAGTAAAGCTGAAGGTACAGGTTAGGAGAGAGTTCATAAAGAGATGCAGTTTTCCCTACAAGCCTTATTTGGCTTTTAGACATATATAAATTTATCAGCATTTCATAAAATAAAATTGTAATAATAATTAAATATTGTTCAACTATAGTATACCATGCATATGTCTACTCTGAAGATTGCTTATTATAAACGTATAGCACCACACTCACAAAATAGTACTCACTCAGATTAAACATAAAACATTTAAAATACACAAAAATGAAGACATTGAATTGATATATGTAACGGCAAAAAAGGAAATGTCCTCATTTCTCTACTTTATTTATAAATATATTGTTTACAATTACACAATTCTTGGAACTCTTAATACTTACATCACAGAAAATAATGTTTCTTTAACAAATATATATTAAAATGCAATAAGCACTGAAGTATAGAAGTCAAATATAAAATCTTTCTCAAGAAACACATTCTAAACAGATAGGCAAACATTAATTAAAATGTGGCTTGTTATGATAAGTGAATTTATTACATGTATAACATCTTTGGAGGTAACATGCTGGTTTAACACCTGAGATCTAGAGTTAAAATGGTGATCAGTATTAAAACCTCATGCCCAGTACTGATGTAACTATGTAAGCTTGAATAAATTACTTAATAACCTCTCCATAACCAAGATTATTGTCTTCTGCCAGAATCCATAAAATAGGAAAATACAAACTTAGCATGGGATAAAAATGACATACAAAGCCTAGTAAAATCCAACTTTACCAACACTGTATTAAATACAAAGTGTCTAAATACCTCACTGACAAAGGCACAGATTGTCAGAATGAACATTAAAAAAAAAAATCAAAGTTCAACTATGTTCTACTTGTAAAGTCACTGAAAATATAAAAAAAAATGTTGCAACAAAAGGATGAAAAACTACAATATACAGTAGGCATAAGAATATTGTTGGCAGTTACATTTGTATTAGATAAAACATGATAAGAAATAAAATAAGAAGCACTTTAAAAAATTAATCCTTCAGAAAAAAATTAAAATTTGAAAATGCATGTGAACCTAAAACAGAACTGAAAAATGTATAACTTAAAGATACAGATCTAAGGTGATATAAATCAATCTATGATTTCAAATATCTCAAATTATAAACCAACCCCAAAGAAAATCAGCAAAGACAGGGAACACTTAAAACTACACAAATCTGGGGCATGAGAGATGGTTCAGCAGTTAAAAGCACTGGTTGCTTTTTAATTGAATCCAGAAGACCTGGGTTCAATTCACAGCACCCACATGGCAGCTCATGACTGTTGCAGCATTGTCTGGTGCTTTGTATTTAATTAACTTCTTGACACCCTCCCCACCCCCGCCCCAGACTTTACTGTTCTACAAGCAAACCCTCACATATATCAAGTGATGCTATGTAACCTTGTCTCCAAATTGTTCATGATTGGCCAATAAATGCCTATATCTGAGAAGGACAGAAGAGAGGTAGGCAGAGCTAAGGTTAGAGGGCTTAGGAGAGCAGGAGAGGAAGAGGAGAGCACAGACGGAGGACAGGAGGAAGAGAAAAAAAAGAGTCACCATGGGTTAAGCAGGAACTAGAAGCATGTGGCTGGGAGGAGCTTGCTCTGAGGATTGCCAAATGGAGAAAAGCAGCTCAGATGAAAAACATATGCAAGTATTTATAGGATTTTGGATGGAAGTAGCCCAGATAGTAATGATTAGGGCAAATGGCATGGGATGTGGGGCTAGGAGATACCAATATAGTTTAGGGGGTTAGTTTATGCCCAGGTCCAATGTATAGGTATATTAAATATCTAACAGGTGTCTGTGTATCTTTTATTTCTCTAATAGCTTGTTAAATAATAAGCCCCACAATAATATGAATTAATCCTGGATATTAGTAATGTCTACATCACACAACTGTCTGTAACTCCAGTTCCAGGGAATCCGACCCTCACATAGACATACATGCAGGCAAAACACAAATCAGTGCACACACAAACACACATAAAAATCATTAAAAAAAAAAAAAAAACTACTCAAATCAACTTGGTCTTCTTGACATTTATAGAACACTATACCTAGCAACCATAAAACCATGCATTAGAAAAATAAAATTCCTATCACAATATCATGCACTATATCTTCACTAAAATGAGTAAAAACAAAAATACTGACAATGCTAATATTGGTGAGATTATGACGGTACTGAACCCTTACACAATCCAGCTAAAGTAAAATGGCATCATCACTATGCAAAACAGGTTTGCAACTTCTTCCATTACACCTGCACTTACTCAAAACCCACAAATTCAATGCTCATTTATATACTCAAAAATATGTCAAAAGAGCTTTCATAAATATATTTCTTAAAATTTTACTTGTAATAATATCAAACTAGGAAACAAAATCAAATAACTTCTTTAAATGAATTTAACAAAAAGAGGAATGTACTCATAAGATGGACTACAATTCAACATTTTAAAAATAATTACCGATGTACTAAATAATTCAGATGAAATTCAAAAACATGTTGGGCAAAGATGAGGAACCTTTCAGCCTAACTGCATTAATAGAATTCTTTGGAACAGCTTGAAACAGTCTGTTGTGAGAGAGACATCAAGATGAGTGTTTATGGTGAGAACGGAAGAAAGAGTGACTGTAAAGAAGAGGACAGTATGGGACAGCACAAATGCTTTCCTCCCTGTTGGTATAATGTTCTTTTAAAATGTATATGCCTTACCCTTGTTAATTCAAATGCTGATTTCCCCACCCCCAACTCTCCGGTTTCAATCTGGATATTGCATTGTGATACTCACTCTTGTGTAAACAGGACACAAATAAAGCAACTAGATACAATGTTGTGCAATGGGAGGAGCCAGAGGACAGGAAAGAGGGGAGGAGCTAGAGAACAGGAAGGGGCGAGAAGGAGGAGGAGCTCGAGGAGAGAGCATGAGGAGAGCAGAGCATGAGGAGGGCAGAGCGGGAGGGGAGAGCTTGGAGGACTTGGAGCATGAATCAGACCTAAGATTTCACAAAAAGCAAGTATAATGTGGGAAATCTAAATGTTTGGAAACTGAGGGTGTGGAGGTTTAGGAGGGAGTAACTATTGCCCAGTATTGTGTTCTAGGTTAACTAAAAACCCAGTCTCTGTGTGGTGATTTGGTTATACAGCCCCTTAGGATTAACAGCAGCATTACAAGAAGATAAAACAATAGCAAATATTAATAACTAAATACAACACCTCCCTTAGTTGGATGGGGGTTGAGCTTAAGCATTCACTTTTCAAACAGGTATCAGCAAACTGTGGCTACTGGGCAAAACCCAGATTGTAGATAATTTTCCATGGTCAACAAATTAAGAATAGTTTTAAATAAGTAAATAGAGAGATAGATAGATAGATAGATAGATAGATAGATAGATAGATAGATAGATATTTGGTAATGGGGCTCCTTTGCTTTGTTTTGTTTTCTATATAACCCTGTCCTGGAACTTACTTTGTAGACAAGCTAGCTTCAAACTCGGAGACCCACCTGCCTCTGCCTCCCAAGTGCTGGGATTAAAGGCATGTACCACCACACCTGGCTATTAGTTTCATATTTTTAATGAGTTGAAAAATAAAAAAGAATATTCCGCAGAAACTACATATGGCCTCAAATTATTTACTAACTGGCTCTTTATAGGGGGAAAAAAAAATCTAACACTGCCAGGTCAATATGCACTGAACTATGTAAGGTGCCCCTGAGTATCTGGGGATTGGTTCAAGGACCAATATATAGACAAGTTAAGGTTCTTACATAAAATCACACAGTATATGTATATACCCTACACATATCTTCCCATGTTCTTCAAATAATCTCTCGATAACGTGTAATGCCCTCCACAATGTAAATGCTACTGTGAAAATCTTTAACCATGATAACATTTTAAGGCTGGGACCTATACACATGAACTGGGAATTTGAGCACAAACTAGGTCAGAACAAACTTAACTGATTTTTCTCTACCATCGTGGGTCAACATAACAACGATGGTTTTTCTCTATAGCTTGCTGGAAATATGTCAGGGGTATGCTACCGATCTAAGGTGCAGATCAAACTGTTCTAAGTGGCTTTCAACACTGTTGGAGGCATCAGCTACACAAAGCGCTGCACATGGGACCTGGAACAAATCTTACCATTCTTTAAAATGTACTGTTTAAAGAGGAGTCCTACTCTGAGTTTAAGAAATGGACTATAAAGTAGTAGGAAGCCTTTCCAGATAGAGTCAGAAATTACAAGCTATGCCAAAGGAACTTGAGTTTTGAATCAAGATATAAAGGATGCATATGACTGATGATAGCAACATGCTATCATGACATATCATGACAGCATCACTCTCATGATTTTACCTGTTAAGCTCCTCCAGACACAGGCGCAGTGTTTCATAGGTTGTCAGAGCAATTTCACATTTCCTCTGCTTTAAACGAATCAGTTCATTGTCTTTTTTGCTACCATGTAAAACAACAACTCTGAAATATCCCCAGGTATCCAATTCATCCTTCCAGTTGTAGAGGACAGAGAGAGGAGCAACTATTAAGAACATCTAAAAAACAGGAAGAAAAGTATCTATGTTTTTAATAAGAACTCTAACATGAAATGCACAGTATCACTAGTTCCACTCTTTGATTTTGATGCTCTAAAGAAGTAATTAGCACAACTAACTGGTTTGCTAAATGTGGACAAAAAAGATTCTCAAAAGTATTCTTTGCATAATTAGCTTGTTGTTAGAACAAAAAGATAAGCCACTGAAAGGGATTTTATTTCTATTCCTAAAAGCATCAAAGAGAAAAGTAACTTTCTAAGAGAGAGAACAGAAAAATTAGGATCACAACAATAAATTAAAGGGCTAATATGCAAAGCAAGTGGGCAGCATTTTTCTCCGAACACAATGTTCTTCTCTCTTTGCTACTATTTCTCTCATATTCTCTCAGTTGAAGGCATGAAAAACTCACTGAAAGACTGAAGCAAGCAGAGATCCTCTACCTAGGTTACAGGCAGTAACTTTGCCTGTATTTAGCTCCATATACCCGCCTTCCCATCTGTGACTACAGATTAACTGTTTATGTGCTTCAAAGACAACAACGTTTGCTGATATTCGCTGGCTCCCATCTCTCTTGCCAAGCTAAAAATCAACATGGTAAACTGGTCTCAGTCTTCCCCACATGCCAGTTTTATTTTTATAATGGACCACTTTTATCCACAAGCATATTTCCCAGGGTTAAAAAAAAAATCAAAACAAAATAAAAATCAAACAAACAACAACAAACTCAGAACACATTTTTTTCCACTGCACATCTATGGTCTCTTATTTTTCTTTTAAGACTTTTAAAAAATAATTTAATTTTATTTCACATGCATTGGTATGAGGGCATCAGATTTCCTGGAACTGAAGCTATAGACAGTTGCAAACTGCCATGTGGGTACTGGGGATTGAACCCAGGTCCTTGGAAAAGCAGCCAGTGCTCTTAACCACTGAGCTCCATCCAGTCTCTTACTTTACAGCAACATTCTCAAGACTTATCAGTACTTATAACCTCTATTTCCTGCTCTCTACTGAATTCATAGTTCTCTGTTTGGAAATAAGCTACAGTCTGGATATGAAATGCTCCCCAAAGGCATGTGTGGCAAAAGCTTGGTTCCCAGGGAGATGGTGGGACTTAAAGAAACAGAACCTTGTGAAAGGAAATGGAACTATTGGACATGACCTTGGAGAGCATCTCTTCTATCTTTCTCACTCTGCCTTCCATGAGGTGAGCATATTCCCTTGCCATGTATCCCTATCATGATTTACTACTTGCCATAGGCAAGAAGACAACTGACCAGGACCCCAAACCTCTAAAGCTAGGAGCCAAAATAAACTTCTTCTTTTGAGTTACTTATGTCAGGTAATTTGTCACAGTGACAGAAAGCTGATTAATTCAGCTTTCAACTAATGCATCCTGTTAAGATTACTAACGTATGTACTTTTCACAGTGGTGCTTTGAGGTTTCACTTTTCTTTTTTAACCCTATCACTCTCATCAACTACTTTAAAATTTTTATGTTTTTATTTTTCTCTATGACAACACTCTTAGGTTTCTACATGTTAAGAGGGTTATTGGTAAACTTTTCTAAATGTTTATATTTGTCCCACACCCAAGAGATGAACCAATAAAACATACTATAAAATATAAGGTAATTATACTGTGTAATGACCTGTAAGAAACAAAATATGTGAGCGTGGTTGTAAAGAGGAAGGAGAAAACAAAATTCAGCTGGAGCTAACTCCTTACCTCACTTGCCAAGCACAGGAGCACCTTCTCATTCTTGCTTCACTTCAAATACCCTTTGTTACTGTAGCCACATATTTAATCTTTTTAATTTCATTTAATTTTTCTCCTACTTTCAAGTACAAAGTCAAGGCTCAAAATACTATGTCCAATCGTGTTGTCTCTCTGTCAATTTTACATATTACAAGATGAAAATCTTGGGTACAAATTCCATCTGGGTACTCAGTAGTTTTCTATAATTCCAGCAGTTCTACCGTTACAACTGCAGTGCTAAGAATTTAACCTACTCTTGGAACTACAAAAGTTGATGAAATGTATACATAAAGATTTTCACTATGATGCAGATTACTGTGAGTGACCCTCTTTAGCCTGCTGGCCTCCTTGTTTTCCGTCCTAGTGTTTATATTTTGTTTAGCCTTAATTGTCAATTGACACAGTGTAGAGTCATCTGAGAAGCTTCAACTGAGAAATCGTCTAGATTGAATTGGTCTGTGGGAATGTCTGAGGAGAGCTGTCTTTATATTAATTGATGTGGAAGGTCCTAGCCTACTGTGGGCTGAGCCATCATTATGCAAGCTATCCTGGGTTGTATAAGCAAGCCAGCTAAGCATGAACCTGAAAGCGCGTGAGAGAATGAGGCAGCAAGCAGTGTTCCTCCACAGTTCCTGCCTCCAGGTTCCCACTGTGAGTTCCTGGCCTTAACAGACTATGATCTGGAAGTGTAAGGCAAACAAGCCCTTTGCTTCCCAAATTGCATCTGGCCATAGTGTTTTATTACAACAATAGAAAGGAAACAGAAACTTTACAACTGTTTCAGCTACATGAGAGCTGAAGGTGGTAAATGGTAAGTAGAATAACTGAAAAGTACTTTTGTTCAATACCACTGAAGTCTTTCTTACACTGGTATTGTAGTTGCTAGGGAATTTTCCCTTTCGTTTTTCAATGTTAATTTCCTGTGTGTGGTACATGGACGTGTGTACATGTGTGTAGGACGGGAGCTGACTTTGAATGTCGTCCTCTCTGTCCCCACCTCTCTCACTGAACCCAGAGCTTGCTGTTTTGGCTAGGCTGTCTGGCAAGCTGGGATCTGCCTGTCTTGTTCCAAGCACTGGCGTTACAGATGTGAACTGCCAAAGCCCTTTTTTACATGGGTTCTTGGGATACGATCTCAGGTTACCACCACAGCAAGACTTTACCCACTGAACTATCTCCCTACCCCCTTCTTTTTATTATAAATTTTTCTCAGACTCTCCAACGTCTGATCATACAAGATACTTTAATTAATGTACTATGAATTATTTCATAAAGTGCAAAGTACAGGATAAACTTAGCCTAAATCTACTGAATCATTCCAAGAATCAGCACTTGAAATGCATGGTTTGTTTCTTTTCTTTTGGGAATTCATTGGCACTTATTTTTCATACATTCCTCAAAGACTTATTCATACCTGTAAAGTTTTAGATTGTATATAAAATGATATCTCTCCCACACATACGTACATCTCTAGTTCAAACCACTACTCCTTAATTTGTAACACTTAATTCATTGAATGTTTCCTTTCAAAGAGATTAAAATCAGTCTTTCGGGGTTCTATTTTAATTCTGGTATTAGTTTTATCTTTATTTTATTTATTCTCTTTTTCACAAAACATCTTTTAGAAATGTAAGCTATTTCAAATGGACTCTCCGCAAACATACGTGCACTGACACCAACAAAACAAAGAACAAATATGAAAAACAATCTTTAGCAGTGCTGTGATGCCTGGAAAGGAACTCCCAGCAGAGCAGAACAGTTCAGCAAGGAGGCAATAAGTACAACACCCTCCTCCCCTACAGAGCTGAGAAGGCCATACTGCCCCTATGAAGAAGAAACCATCAAAGAAAGAGCCATAACAACAATAACAGAACCCAACAGAATCACTGAAGCAGTTGGAAGGATCAGGTCAGTAAAACCAATGCCCAGGTATTTTAAGAAAAATCAGTGGTGTCAGTCTTCGGTCAAAGAAGATAAAAATTACTCTGTCATCAGTACTTAGCTTCCCCCATTTAAAAAAAAAAAAAGTACTGTGTATATTTTTAAATTTATTTATTTACTAATTTTATGTTTGTGTACATATGTGCACCACATGCATGCAGGAGCCTGTGGAGACCAAAGGCATCAGATCCCCTAGGGCTGTTGTAAAAATGGTTGTGAGCTGTAGATGATATGAATCCAACCCTGGTCCTCTGCAAGAGCAGTAAATGCTCCTAATTGCTGAGCCATCTCTCTAGCCCCTGGGCACACTTTTCAAAAGTGAACTTATCTGGAAGAATTCTACAGTAAGTATTAGGTCTTTGGGGGTAAGGGAAGGTTCACAGGTGGAACCTTAGGTACTTCAACAAAAAGAAATTTCCCTTCACTGGGAAAAAAAAATCAGTTCAGCATTGAACTATCATCTAAAACATGCAATAACAGAAGATATTAAAATATTTGGGTCAAGTTATAAGATAAAAATTTTGAACTAAGAAATCAGTAAGTAATCTGTCAACTCAGTAAAAAAAAAAAAAAAATTCCAAGCGGTGGTGGTACACCCCTTCAATCCTAGCACTTGGGAGGCAGAGGCAGGCAGATCTCTGTGAGTTCAAGGCCAGCCTGGTCTACAGAGCAAGTTCCAGGAAAGCCAGGGCTAAAAAAGAGAAACCCTGTCTCAGAAAACAAACAAACAATATACAAACAAAATTTATGAAAACGAATACAAATACAATATAAATGAACAAACTTGGTCATAACAGAAAAGTTAATACAGATTTCTCTGAACTCAATTGCTCAAATAAACAAGAAAATCCTATCAGAAGCAAGAGACATACCTGCCACCTGTCCAAGCCTGAGTTCTTTTTAGAGACTGTCACTCAAGAGAAATCAGGATTCTTGACTATACTGAAAAAAAGTTTCAGGATGAGAAAGTTTGAAGCAGAGTTGGAGCTTATTAAGATTTTAGTTTAGATTCAAGCATGGATTTAACATAAAGAAAAAAAACTTAGGAAAAGGACAGTGCATTTCACATATGGACATGAGCTGCTCAAGACAGCTGAGTTTAAGTTTAGCATTAGCCATACAAATAACTTTGGTGGACATGAAGTTTCTCTATTAAATAATTTCTAACACCCTCCTCCCAATACCGATTTTCAGTGAACGAGATAATAGGGTATTCCTGAGATACACTGGACAGGTTTACAGGTGACAAATGTTGAGAGAATCCTTATTATATTGGGCCACAAGGTAGTGAATACATAGGTTCTTCCTGTAAACAAAGTTTATATAGTTTAGTGAGCATCTCAAAAAACTGCAGGTTTACAGCTATGGAAAGAGTAAGGCTAAAACTCAAGGTCATATGTGTTTAGGACTTATGCAAAGTTCATTACCTCAGTATTCTTATTTGAAACATCTCTATCATTTATATACACGCAATCCTCTCAGTAAATCTGCTAATTGTGCTGGACTTCCTTACACTCAGCAGGCAAGAGGATCCCTTTCTAACTTGCCTTAACTATAGGATTATGGCTTTTAATAAGGCCATCAAGCTTGGTTAAATAGAAAATACAGACCTATGTGGCCACAGTAACAGAGAATACAAGAAACAAGCAGATATTTCCAAACAGGAGACTACACAAGTTACAACATCAAAACATTAACGGTACTTTACATAGAAAACATTACAGTTATAATACCCTATAAGAATGCACACAAAGCTGAATCCTTCTGTCACTCTGTACCAAGTACTTACATTCATCTGGAAATTTTAAGATTTCTCTTTAAATAGTATTTAGTTTAGTAAAAAGAACAAAATTGGAGCTGAAGACAATTTAGAAAATAATAATGGAAGTACTACTAATCAAAACTGGAATAGACTAAAAGTAGTACTCAAAGGAACATTTGCACATTAATGAAAATAATCAGAATATAAGACAACACAAATTAATGAATTTCAGCTAAAGAAGATCTAATAAAAGTAATATATACTATGGCAAAGTATTTAAGTACATATGCACATACACATTAAAAAAAGGAAGGGAAGAATAAATGAAATCACCAGTGTCAGCTGAGGTAGCAACTGTATCATACCACAGTGAATACATTTCTTTCTTCCCATTCTTATTCTTACTCAAACACTTTTAAAATGTATTTACATTTTAAAACACACTACTTTTCTTCCCCTTTTCTCTTCCCAGTCTAATTGTTGTAAGTGGCATTTAATGGCATATGTAAATTCTGTAGAGCCATTCAGCACCACAGAACTGAACCCAGAGCTAAAAGTAAGGCTTAAATCTTTGCAATATTTAAATATACTAAGGATCACCATTCTAGGATCCAACTGACTCTAACACTCACTATGCATGAATGCTGTTAAAATAGTAAGATAATTTAAAGTAGTAACAAAAATACCATAAACCTGTACTTCTCAAATTTTTACATAAAAATGACCCTTCTGAGACCAGTGAAGTAAACTTGTACTTCTCAGCAATCCTGTGAATTACATAAAAGAAACTCGATCTTAGAACTTGAGGAATATAGTTCACCCCCATTAATAAAATAATAAATATTTTCATCAAATCACTCCATTTATTCCCATTCAACTTCAAAGATCCTGAGGACAACATAAAAGCACATGAGAAGACTGGGGCAAGAACACAGTTGGTAAAGTACTTGCTATGCAAGCTCAAGGACCTGAGTTCAATCCTTGCATCCATGTTTTTAAAAAGCTGGGTGGCAGAGAACCTGTAATGCCAGCACTGAGCAGGTAAAAACAAGAGGATTCCTCGGGCTTGCTGGCTAGCCAGTCTAGCTAGATCAGCAAGCTCCAGCTTCAGCTCGGGACCCTGACCCGAAAACTATGGTGAAGAGAGAAGACACCAGACATCAACATCTGACCCTTATCCTAGACACACTTGTGCATGTACTTCTGTATAAATATGTACACATACAAGCATTTACACATGAAAAGAACAAAATCCTAACACCCTATAATGACTTCATTGGTTTTTACAAATCTCTTATTTTATCTATAACCAGTCCACCTAGAACATGTCTAAACTTGTCTGACCTCAGCAGAGTCAGGCCCAATTTGTTACTTAGATGGAAAAAGTCTCTTGTTTTTATAAAAACAAACTGTATTTATTTATAAGAACATTTATGAGTACCATTCATTGTCATAAGCATAGAAGCAGAGACAAGTACACACCTGGTGTTTTTAACTTTCTTGTATGACCATCCTAAATATCAATGGTGTTAGTATTTTGGAACACAATCTGCTCCTGGGTTACCCAGCAACTTATGATGTCATCATGTGTTGCCTGCTAGGTGGCCACACCTGGAAGGCGTGGTTACCTTGCCCCTTAGAGGGCCAACCCCGACATGTGGTCTCTCTCTCTTACTCTCCTCTTTCTCTCTCTCTCTATCTCTCTCTCTCTGCGCTCCCCCTTTCCCTTTCTTTCTCTCTCCCCACCATGTCCTGTTTCCCCCACTCCCTCCATACCCACTTAATAAACCTCTGGCATAGAAGATCTGTTGACCCCAGCCTCATATTTCTTTAAATAATAACTAACAAATGGCACACCTTTGCTACCCATATCTGTATTGCCTCTTTTTGTTTTTATATAAATTAAAAACAAATTAAAAAGAACTATGTAACATACATATCCATACAAATTTAAGAAATAAATCACAGAAATACAGTCAATAGACTGAAATGCCCAAACAAGTATAAGCTGAAATTGATCTTACCCTTCTTGAGAAATAACTTGAACTAGAGATGAAATTGGCACCCTTCAAAAGTAGTCTTATAAAAGAAATATTTTTCTGTCTAAAATCTTTTATTAAAATGTAAAATACACAGGCTGGAGAGATGGCTCAGCGGTTAAGAGCACTAAGTGCTGTTCCAGAGGTCCTGAGTTCAATTCCCAACAACCACATGGTAGCTCACAACCATCTGTAATGGAATCTGATTCCCTCTTCTGGTGTGCATGAAAACAAAGTATATGTTCATACACATACAATAAATAAATAAATCTTTAAAAAATGTAAAATACACTGGTTTGTTTAAATGCTTCTGTATTTGCAATCTCAACTTTATGAGCAGAACACTTCTAGAGATTTTACCTTTTTGGCTGTAGAAGAGAGTTCCTTTTTCATACTTTTTAGTAAAAACTCTGGCATATTATTTTCAATATCTTCACGAGTTCCCTTTTTATGCAAAACTGCTGCCAGAAATGAAATAACCTGGAAGAAAAAAAGACTTTTTTGATCATTATGTATAACTTTATTGTACATGTGACAACCTAACACACTACAGACAAAAACATTGGTACTTTCTTTAACAAGCAACACATAAACTCTACAGTGCCATCTAATCTCAGAACAACTCTGCCCAATGAAGATGAATTCCTTCTTTATTCCATCATCTGAGATATTACCTTAGTATTTGTTTCTATCCATGGAAACTATCTTTTAAGTCTCTAGAATAAACTATACATTTTTCTTTTCTGGTAGAAAATAAATTCCTTCAAGGAAGAAGTATTTGCTTCATAAATTTGTGCCTTTGTTTATCTAATGGATGACTGAATGTTAATTTAAGATCAGCTAGTACAACTCATTAAAACATACTATTTTAAATAGCAGCTATTCTCCAAAATTTAAATGAGAAGGACAAAAAAATAAGAAATCACACAATCAACAGCAAGGAACATTTAATCAATTAAATACTTGCTGATTCAAATGTTAGCTCTGGTTGTCTAGCAACTATGTGAACTTCAGCAAGGTAATTAAACTCCCTAAATAGTTATCTGTAAAAATAAAAAAAATATCAGCAGGATTATTTGAAAGATTTGGTATGAAAGTGTATGAGGTGAAAAAAAAACTCATTATTTTAAAGCATAAATTATAATAGAAATATTGAAATCTAAAGAAAAATTATAAGAGAATTAGAAAAACAAAGGATGTGTATTTGGGGGCCAAAGAACAGGGCTGACAAAAGGCCTCATTCTAGCCCAGTACAGCAAAGAATTTACTTGGTAATTCAATCAAAGTAGCCTCAAACTTGTAGTACTCCTGCTTCAAATTTCCTAAGTGCTAAAATTACAGGTGTGACTATAATTTGCTTATCAGTGTACACCTTATGAGAAAAGCATTTTTCACTACATAGATATCTATGATTTAAATCCCAAATTATAGAAAAGGAATTATAATCAGATTTATTTGAAAAAAAGTTGATCATTTAAAAAAAAACTTTAAACCATAGACTCAGTAGTTATGAATATTAGTTATCTGCCACCACAAAAATTTTTTAAAATTAATGAAAACTCACAAGTAAGTACTTCATAGAATAAAACTGAGACACAAAATTATTTAAAAGAGGCTAGAGAAAACAAGACCAGGTTACCACAAAACAGCAATGATTAAGTACAAAGTAGTTAAAAACAATAAAGACACATACAATAGAATACTTTCAAAGTAATAAGGAGAACAACATAATCTAGATGTTTATACTCAGGAACAATATTCAAAAATGTAAAGTGAAGATATTTTTAGACAACTACAGCCAGCCAATTCATCACAAAAGAGCCATGCTCTTTTAATGCATAAAATATAAAAATATTAATATGATATGAAAACATTTTAAGTGAAAAAAAACATAAGCACAAGTAAATGATTCTATGCAAAAGAGTAGTAGCACAAGCAAAAAGTAAGAGCAAGACACATGGCAAACAGGCAGACAAAGCAAAGGTATACTGACACTATTAAAAAAATCTACAAATGGGGCTGGAGAGATAGCACACAGGTTAAGAAAACTAGCTGTTCTTCCAAAGATCCTGAGTTCAATTCCCAGCAACCACATGGTGGTTCACAACCATCTATAGTGAGATCTGGTACACAGACACACATGCAGGCAGAATGCTGTATAAATAATAAGTAAATAAATAAATCTTTAAAAAAAACGACAGCTTTTGTTAGCATCAAATGACAAGAATTTAGGCTATAAATATTTTATCTAAGTCAGGATTAGGGCAGTTACAGCTCCTAAGGTCAAAAGATGGCACAAAAAAGGAAAAGGCATACAAGTAAAAATTAAATAGTAAAATAATAGCCAAATAGCTTTAGAAAGCACACTGTAGATAAAAGAGACTAAATACTCTAAATAAAAAGCAAAGACTGGACCAGCAAGATGACTCAATAGGTGAAAAGCTTGCCACCAAGACAGACTTCCTAAGTTAGATGTGATGCCCACAGGGTGGAAAAGAGCTCCAGAAAGTTGCCTGACCTTCATGTGGACTTGTACATGTGTACACAGAAACAGCGCGCGCACGCACACGCACACACACACACACACACACACACACACACAGACACAGACACACGAAGCCAGAGATGAATGGGATTAGTGGAAGCAAAGGAGGCATATAAACAACTCAAACCTAGAGCAACTTAAATTTTTTTTAATTTTACCTACAGGTGTTCAGTGCATGCCCACAATTTATAAGTATTTAAGTCAGTTAGACTTAAAGTTATTTATGTTTGCAATTAAAAAAATATATAACTAAGTTTAAATATAACTGACTTCTGACTAGTTCTTAGAATATAATATGAATCATAGACAATTTATAATTAAAAGTTCAAGTAACAATATATTATTGTGGATATAAGTATCTTTTTGTTTTGGTCCCAGGTGTGGGATGTGGGACTGATTCAGATGGTCTACAGCAGCAGACTATTTGCTTCATGCAGGCTCTAAAAGGAGCTCTTTGCCAGTTGCAGACAGTTTAAGTCTGAGGACTCTGGAGAGAGAATAAATGCTGGAGGCCAAAGAGTGTGGAGAAAAGAAAGAACAAGACTACTCCTGCTTCCAACTTGCTGCTCCTGATGATGCAACTGTGAAATAAGAAGATAGAAATATCCTTGAAACAAGGATTGGACTGGCTCCAAGGAACCCGATGATCCTGACCAGCAGGAAGCAGCTAAGAAAGAACGGCAGCCCTTCTCCCACTAAGCCTTCTCTCTCCTACCTAGTGTTGGGGTGTTGGAAGGGACTGGACTGGAGTAGGGAGAAAAAGATATAAGAAACGGAAATAAAAGAGTTTTAAAAAACTAACGCCAACAATGTATTACTTGGAAAGAGACATGAGGAAACTTTCCCAGGTCCAAAAAAAAAAACAACAACAACAACAACAACCCACTCTTGGGGCTAGAGAAATGGCTCAGTGGTTAAAAGCACTGACTGCTCTTCCAGAGGATCTGGGTTCAATTCCCAGAACCTATATGGTAGTTCACAATCTGTAACTCCAGTTCTAGGCAAAACATCAAGGCACATAAAATAAAAATTATTTTTAAAAACACTACAGAGCCACAGCATTTAAAAACAAACAAAAACTCTTTACCTTAATTAGCATATTGGTTATACAGATACACATGTCAAAACCTATTTAGCTCTATACTTAAGAAGTGTGAAAATGTTAGTGTATAAAACTGTTTCAAAAGACAAGCCCACCCCCACACTCATGTACACTAACATGTATAAACGTGTATATGTACATTACATGTATTCCTTTAAATTTTGACAACTTGTCTTCAAAACTACAAAAAAAAAAAAAGATTAACAGATAAGACTGTAGCCGGGCTTGTCAGCACAGGCCTTTCATCGCAGCACGTGTGAGGCAGATGCAGGAAGATCTCTCTGAGTTTGAGGTCTACAAATCAAGTCTAGGAGAGCCAGGGCTACACAGAGAAACCCTGTGGAAAACACACACAGAGAGAGAAAGTTTTTGAAACTAATTTCAATGCAAATAATGAGAATGTGCTTTACTGTGAAATATTTACAAAGGTGCTTACAGAAAAAAGTAAAAATAAAAACTTAAGTCTGTCACATCTAGAACCAGCATTTCAAAAATAAAATACCAGTCTAGGAAACCTTTGTTTTCACTGACATTCCTTTCTAAAGTCTGCAAGCAAACATTTTTATAGGCCATCTTTCCTTACATGCAATCATCTCTTGATATAGAATGAGGCTGGGAAGCAGCACATCAAACATTCACCCAAAGGCTTAGCCTCTCCCCTAACCCCCCAAAAAGTATTTCTCATTTAATAAAAAAAAAAAAAAACACTTTTTTTTTCTACTCACAGGACATAAAAAGAAACAGAGAGTGCTTCAGAATCACACTTTAAATGATGTTTGTTTTGCTTGCTTCAAATAAGTGCTAGTGCAAAATCAGAGAGCACAGCAACAAATGGGATGTCTTCATCACACCCCACCCCTCAAGGCTCACAGATAGATACAGAAGAGGAAATGGAAAGATTGTAAGGGTCAGAGGTTACGGACAACTCCAAGGAAATAGTGTTTTCTAGATATAACAGGGCTAATGTACACATGAACTCAGAAACTGTGCCAGCATGAACAAGACCTGCACAAGTTCAAACCAGGCAACATCCCAGAATGGAGACTAGGAAGTGGGCACAAAGTCCCACTCCTAAACAAGAAACTCTTTACAACTGATAGCTGGTCAAAGAGGGAAAATCTATTTCCTTCAACGGAGTGACATGGATGTACCAACCACACTCCAGGGCAGGCATTATGCGCAGGAGTCGTTGACTAACACAAAATGGATTCCATGGGTTTTCTGTTTTTCTTTTGAGTGTGTGTATTATTGTTGGTTGGTTGGTTGGTTCCTTGGTTTCTTCTTTCTTTCTTTCTTTTTTAAGAGAAAAAGAAGATTACATTGGAAAAGGGAGAAGATTTGAGAGGAGTCGGCAGAGAGGAAAGAATATTATCAAAATATATATATATTTTTTAAATTTTAAATTAAGTGCTGTTTGAATGGAGATCTAGCTCACTTCTTGTTACAAATCTCTAGTCCTACAATATGAATTACACACCAAACCCAAACCACAATTTGTCTTTAAAATGCAAAGGCTATTTTGCTTCTGTTTTAAAGGGCTTGGGGCTCTGGAAGTTAATTAACTTTTTACATCATCTACAGTATTTTCTCTAAGAATAAAAATGAAGAAAAAATATTATTCTCCAAATACTAATGAAGTACTGAGGATAAAATGATGAGACACTGAGTCATTTTCCTCAATTCTAAAACTTTATCATGTAGCTGGAGACAAACAAAACCTCTAGTAACAGGCAGTATTACAAATAGAGATCTGCATAGCGTCGTCACTCATACACATGAGCTGATTTTTAACAATAAGTTAAGTAACATAAATACCTGTACTGTTTTTCCAAGTCCCATGTCATCACCAAGAATACACCCTCTTCCCTGGATGTAGTGTCTGTAGAGAAACTGAGCTCCCTCTCTTTGGTAGTCTCGCAAGTACCTATTAATAGTATAAGGAATGGAGTCTCCATCGTCAGATAATTCAAAAGCAGTAGTCAAGGATGGAATTTTTTGATCTGGGAAATAAGGTTTTTCTAAATCTTCATCATCAAATATAAAACTTCTGGAGCAATCTTTAGTTGGTTTTACTTCTTGAAGTCTTGGAAGAGGCATTTTCTTTTCTTGAAAATCTGAATACAGGACAACTGCAAATGGCTTCCCATTTTCATCCACAGTGATAGACTTTATGCTTGCTTCACAAAGCTTTTTATTATCCAAAGAAGGAGCAAGACATCTTTCTCCTGGACACCATCTGTCTACAATAAGGAAGAAAATTAAACTTTCAAAAAGAAGTCACACCTCATTTACCTACTGAGAAAAGCAATTTTAACATATTTTCAAAGTAACTGAAACAAATAAGTTATATTTATTTTCATAGATTTTTTTTCCTAAAATATATTATCTTTTTTTTCTATAATCACTAGAATAATCTATTTTCTATAGCTCTTATCCTGGCTATATGTCATTAAAAATATAATTGCCAGGTTTAAGACTATATTGCCAAGATATTACCTTTGATGACTTCAATTAATGGATATGAGCCATGAACATTTATTTTCATTATTTGCCTGGCTGTTGTTAGATCTGACATACAACCATAGCTGAGATCCACTGATTTAAATATTCTTGGTGAGTCATGAACATTATACATTCTCCTTTTTATGATACAGTAAAACAAATAAAGAGTAAGCTAGAATCTTCAGGACAGCAACTCTTTGTGGGATGTGCTTTTTATATTACTCCCTCCTTCTCTGGACATAGGTATACAACTAGCCAAAGGGAGCTTTTATTTAACTACAATGATGTCACAACTGTCATGGCTTATTCCTTTTGGGTTTTGAGTTCTAGGAGCCAGAGACATGACTCTGAAGTTAAGAATATTTGAAGTTCTTGCAGAAGACCAGGGTTCAATTCCCAATATTCACACAGTGACTCACAACTACCCATATTCAAGTTCTAGCCACCACCCTCTTCTGATTTCCTGGGGCACAAATATACATGTCATACCCAAAACACTCACACTCATAAAATGAAATAAATCTTTAAAAAAAGAGAGAGAGGAAGTAAAAGATCCTTTAAGAGCCTCTCATTTACTAAAGATTGATCTTCTCTACACATGAACTTACTATGTATTAACTGTTCAGCCTTCTGTTTTATTTTCTATCCTGAAGATATAGCACCATGAATATAAAATATGCTGTTAAGTACTTTAAAGGGTACTAAGTAGATGACACTAAGTAAAAATAATTTCTTCAAATGGAATTCCTCATTGCAAGGATCCAAGAAATATATGGCTCTATCTGTACAGATATTGGAAATTATTTCTCTTACACATTCAACAATGATACCACAAGAACATTCATGATTTCCTGGGATCTTCCTGAGAAGCTCCAGTTAGAGCTTCATAACATTTATGGTTATAATGACAGGTATTTGCCGCCTTGAGCAAGAATGGCTCACTGTGACAGTCTATCCACTGTTCCTCAAAAAGCATTATTCCCACAAATTTGGTAAGGTGGTTTTACAATAGTTATCCTAAGTATGCATGGAAAAACATGTTCTCCCACTCTATTCTTGTAGATCCAAACTGAGAACTGTTACACTATTATGAAATTAACACCCTACTCTACTCTACAGGTAAAAGGATATGCAGGTCAGAGTGCCTTCTTTCTGGGACAGTGCTAACCGAGCCCAAGCTAATGATACACTACATTAATTCTTAACATATTATTTATGTTTTAAATGATGCATCTCCCTACCTACAAAATAATCCTCTCATTTCAAAGTCCTAAGTCCTCAATTTCACACTAAACATACATGTTTAAACATCAATTATTCATCATACATTGTACCACACAACTGGCATAAAATAAAGAACAACGTCACAATGGTAGTTAGTAATTGCCCTGCGTCTTATTAACTGGCATCATTTACAGACAACTTTTCAAGGTAAAAACCATTAGCCCCTATACCTCTTTTTATATTACTCCGACATGCAATACACCACAGTCTGGTTTCAGGTTTTACTTCAAAAACAGCTGGGTGTGATGGTACAAATCTTTAATCCAAGCACACAGGAAACAGAGGCAGGAGGAACTCTGAGTTCTCTGAGTTAAGGGCTAGTCTTGTCTACAGAGCTAGTCCCAGAACAGCCAAGGCTACACTGAGAAACCCTGTCTCAAAAAAACAAACCAACACACAAAACAAAATGAATGAAAAAATAGCGTTTTTCTCTATGCCAACATCTCTAGAAAGCAAGAGCTGAATTCTAAAAGCTTTTTTTCTATAGTCACCTACTAGCTATCTGCTATTATTTAAAGACTATACATTCTCTTACTCTTTACAGCAAAAGCAGCCGCAGACAATAACTGAATGAGCATGGCTGTATTCTAATAGAATTTTATTTTAAAAAAGCAGCATCAGATTTGATTTTGCCTATGAGTAGTAAGTAGTTTGATGACTTTTCCCTTAATACATGCCACCATCACTTTATCTTGAATTACTCATAACCAAACTCTAGCTCTAGTCTAGCTCATTTAGTAGATAACCCATTATTCTTTCAGTATTTTATGACCACAATAGCATTTGCACTGTGTTTAAATATGTTTACTTGTTTTTTTGTGTGTTTTTTTCCACTGGACAGAATTTCCTCTTCAAGACTACCCCCCCCAGGGGGTATTTTCAGTCAATGAATATAGAAATGAAGGATGCCTAAGACATCTATGAACAAAGTGTACTATTCCATATCCTTTTTCTCTATTTTCTCTTGTACACATCCCACGTACACCATCAATTCATGAGTATTCAGTTCTACTGTTTTCTAACGTCATGTCCAATGGTTTGACGTACTGAAGAAACTGAGCATCAATAGTTGAAATATATTTATGTTAATTAGTCTAAGTATCTGATTTTTTTTTATCTACACAAATAGGTCTCTCTCATCTATTTAACAAATTCGTACTACTGTCTAATAACTGGCACATACAAAGACAAAATAAAAATATCTGACATTTATCGAACACTATGGGTCGAAATGTAGTCACTTATATCTAACAGTCACGAAACTTAAAGATCCCCATTTTACAGATAAGGAATCTGTTCCCACTGCTCAGCAAGTAACTGTGAGGCACAGCACTACATCCTCAAGTATGGGTTCCTAAAAATGCCAAAGACAACGACTTCCCGCGGTGAGAGGGCTCTAAAGCCTCCGCTGCCATTCTCAGAACCACGCGGAAGCCGCTTCCGGAAGTGGCCTGGGGCGTGTGTTTGCCTGAGACGCGAGCTCGGAGCTCATACCTTTGCGGGAATCCCCGCAGGGCTGCGGGGCAGAGGCGTCCATCAGGCCAGGGGGAGGCGCCCGGCAGCCCCGCTGCGCTCAGCACTCAGCGTTCGGCGGCGTGGCGAGCGCCGAGCCACAGGCCCGGCGCCGTGTGGGGCCTCGCGGGGGCCGGGCAGGGGCGGCGTCACCCTGGGGAAACGCCAGCGCCGGACAGGCCGCCGCCGGGGTCTATAAATCCCGCGAGAACGGGCACTGCGGCCCTCTCCCTCGCTCAGCTTCCTCCAGACATCGCGAGAAGATGAGTTAGCCTTTAGGCAGACAGGAGCAGACGTTCCAAATATCGCGAGAATTGGTATCGCTCCGTGCCGTCGAACCTTTTTGGTGAGGGAATTCACGACTTGAGAGGAGTGACAACTCTCTAGGATGGTAGAGGACGCTGTGAGCCCTGCGAAGACTGCTGGCCTTGTCGCCTAGGAACTTCAGGAGGCCAGCTTCAAGAGGGCGTTTTCTTGGGTTACCTAGTTTGTCGTAACTCGTGGAGAGCAACCAGCAGCCCTTGCGCAGATAAGGTCAACGTAGGATTCGGTTAACCCTCCTCGGAGTGTTTCCTTTATCACCCTCAGAAACGAGCCGTGAGTACTCCCCACCCTGAGGAAGGAGCCCACACGCAGCCTGCTACAGTCTCCGGCACAGCGTTCTGAGCACGAGCTAAATGGATGCTGCTTGCCTGATATCTTCCAGGAAAGTAGATGAAGCCAAATGTGTTCTTGCATGTGGAACAGTGTTCGTGTACTGCGCATTATACTTCATTTCGCCGGAGTAAGCCTCTTGCCTATTGCTTTTGTAACCAGTTTCCACAAACCTTTTCTTTGTTTACAACGCTATTCATGTGTTGAGGCAGCACTACTCTATCTTGTGGTTTTGTAGGCCACAATTCATACACAGGTCTCTTGAAGCTAAAATTCAGATGTCGCCGCGCCTTAACTTGACCTCTTCAAAGTCAAGGACGGTGCATTTCAGAGCCTTCCACAGTGGTTTTTAAGAGCTCACCAGAATAAACTCATTTTCAGGTCTGCACTCTTTAACTGCATCAGAAAATGCCCTTTGATATGTAAAGTAACATTTATGGGTTTCAGGATTTAGAGGCACAGATTTCTTAGTTCCTGCCTACTGTAGGACCCTTTTTTGGATACACTATGCCTATTCGAATAACTGAGATCTCCATTCTTTGCAGATTCTAAAAATTAGTAGATTATTTTCATAGGAGTGCTAAATCAAGACTGTCATTTGTTTGCATAACAGAAGAAAACTTTAAGAGAAGCATTTAGGAGTATAGATTAAGCTAATAACAGCAAACTGAATTAAGGGGAGTAGTTTCACAAAATAAGAGAGTTAAATAAAAGGGGGTTGGGGGGGAAGGTGAGACAGCATTTCTCTGTAGTCCTGGCTGTCCTGGAACTCATTCTGTAGACCAGGCTGACATTGAACACACAGAGATCTGCCTGTCTCTGCCTTCTGAATGCTAGGATCAAAAGGATGGGCCACCACAGTCTGGCAGTAAAACTCTTAAAACATACCTGGTCACAATAAAAATATTGCTATGAATATGAAATGCACCCACTTGAAATTTACATGCTGCATAGGTTAATATTTTGGCTGGTAGTTTATTGTACCGTATTAGTTCTGATTTTTTTTTAATGGATTCTAACTTTAGACACCGTGTATTATAGAACATTTCAGATACAATCATTAAAAACATAGCTGATTGTTAATTACAACCATTGAGTCTAACATACATCCTTATATTGCACATCTTAAAAATATTCCTTGGATTGTTAAAGTGTACCTGTTTTAAACTGTTCACACATTCTGAAATCAAAATGATAAATAGGAAATGTAATCAAGCTTGATTTTATTTTTTATACTACAAGAGAAGTTTGGCTCCCCTCCCCCCCATTGATATCATTAGTTGTATAGTCTCTTGTTTTTCTAGAGGTCTATTGATTTAAGATGTAGATCCTTACAGAGCTGATCTGTAACTACAAGAGATTTGATAAATCCAAAATGAGTTTTGATTTAAAATGAAAGAAATCATCTTGTTGAAGGAATACCCTTGCAGCTAACAAGAAGACTCCTCACATACGAGTGTCTATTATGTATCTGCATTACCATGTGTGTCCTGTATAATGAAGTGGGAACACTCATAACAAACTGTCTTAAAGAACTACATTCTCATGAAGTTAACCAACCTCTAGCATCCTTCCTACCCTTGGAGTAGCTTTTGGGTTTGCCAGTTGCCTGTCATCCTCTTGTGTAGATGCTGATGTTGTAAACCTCCCAACACTAGAACAAATTACTTCAGGCTGGCATTGCAAGAGATTTAGGAATTTCTGAAGTCAGTAGAAGTGTTGGATTGACTGAATTGCATGCAAAACTGCTGGCAATGGGTAACAAAAAATTAAGCCAATTTAGACTACAAAAATAGGATTGGATTATTGCCTATGACTTTAATAAGCCTGAAAATTCTGCAGCTAACCAAGAACTGGTGTTGGGAAGATGGCCTGGTCATTAAAGTGACCTGAATTCAGATTGCCAGTATCCAAATATAAAGCCTAGTTATGGGTGTGCACCTATAACCCTAGCACTGGTTTTGCTAGCCAGTCATTCAATGAACTCCAGTTTCAGACAGAGACTCAAAGGATAAGGTAGGCAATGATCAGGAAGACATGTATTATTAACCTCTGTCCTACAGAGGTTGGCATATGCACACATATTGCATGCATATGTCTACACATATGAACACAGATGCACACAGAATCACCAGTAAATACTGGATAAAATATTTTTGCAAAGCCACTCAAGATGTACAACTACCTCTCAAAAATATATTACATACTCACAGGACATATAAGTAAGAAACTGAAAGCTAGTTTATTGAGGTAGTACTTACCCTACTGTTATGCTGAAAGCATCACCATCTCAGTTACATAATCATGAATTTTAACAGTCATGGCTACAGAATACAGCCTTCGTCCACACAAGGCTTTGGGAGTAAAAAATCTCCATTTAAAATAAGGTTGTGCCTGTTTGAGCATCCTTTTTTAAGCATGCTGTTGATTTTCTATGATGCTTTCCTGTCTCTACAGACAGATTTAGGATTTGCATTTGTACAATTTATATGATCTATGAAATCCCAAAACAACTACCAAGTTAGTTGTATCCAAGTAGCTGGAAAGATGGTAAGTAATTCCTTTCAAGGGAGACTTGTGTTAAAGATTCCTCAGACCTCAGAGATAAAGCCCTACCAACCAGTTTACAATTCTAAAACTGAAATAAATATATAAAAGTAAGATATCATGAACAAGATCCAGTACAGAAAATGTGCAACAGAAATAGAACCCTGGTAATTTTCATTATTAGAATAATAGATATTTTTTACTGTAGCTAAGATATTTATTGATGTTTTTAAATACTAGACAAAGTATGAGAGTAAATAAAAGGCACTGTGAAGAAGTACCAAATAACCAGGCATGGTGGCGTGTAATTTTAATCTGCACGCAGTAGGCAAAGGTAGATGGATCTCTTTGAGTTTGAGGCCAGCCTGGTCTATACAGAATGTTCTAGGCCAGCCAGAGCTACACAGTAAGGCCTTGTCTCAAAAGTAGCAGATAGGTTTTTGGGTTTTTTTTTTTTTTTAATGTATTTTTTGTCAGTTTGGTTTGGTTGTTTTTTGTTTGGTTAGTTTTTGTGGTTTTATTTTGTTTTGTTGGTTTTTTAACACAGGGTTTCACTGTATAGCTTTCACTGTCCTGGACTCACTTTGTAGAACAGACTGGGCTCAAACTCAAAGAGATCTGCCTGCCTCTGCCTCCCCAAGCACTGGGATTACAGGCATGCATCACCATGCCTGGCACCAGATAGATTTTTAAAGAGATTGTAGAAATGAAATTTTTAGCCACTGAAATCTGAAACTCGGTGAGATCAAGAGCATATGAAACATCTGAACAGAAAATATGAACTGAAAGTTCTGAAGAAATGATTCCAAATACAGCACAGAAGATAAAGAAGCTTAAAAAAAAAAAAACAGAAGAGAATTCAGATGAAAGGTGAAAGTCTAATTGAAGACCTACAGAGTAAAGACCTCTGTAGTACAGAGCCTGGGAGGAGACAATGTTCAAGGAAATAGTCTCTGACATCTTTAGATGAAGGAAATATGAAGAGTGGTGTATATAAATAAAATGTATCACTAGACACAGAAGTAAAATTACAGAATAAAGTGGCAGAGACTCTTGAGAGTCCTTAAAAAGGTCTGATTACCTCTCAATAGAATGACGCCAAGAAGAGCAGACATCACCATAACACTGAAGTCTGGAGATAGTGGGAAAGCGACCTCAAAGAGCCAAGAGAAGATAACTGCCAACGTAGATTTTAATTAAGTCAAATAATATTTTCAGGCAACACCAATGGGCTTTCACTAGAGAATCTTTTAAAGGATTTTGAACTTGATGGATTAAACTGTAAGAAGGAATGAGTAGCCTAAAAAATTGTAAACAATCACTGGCCTTATAAAGCAATCATCACAATAATAGAAACAATTTGAACATATAAAAATATATAACAATAATGTAAAATATAACTACAGCTTGGGTGTTACATACCCTCCGAAGTTTCATGTAAGAAAGCCCATCCTGGCACTACTGGGAGGTGATAGAAACCTGCAGAGCCTACTGGGAAGGATTCAGGTCACCAGGAGGAGTTACTGAGATCCCAGTCTCTTCTTTCTCTCTATGCTTTGTGAATACCATGAGGTAAGTAGCTTGTTGTAACGTACACCACTGTCATGACATTTCAGGCCCAGAAACAATGGGGCCAAGGTTTCATCAACTGAAACCTCCAAAACTCAGCCAAACATTTCTTCCTTTTAAGTTACCTCAGATGGTGCTTATAGTAACAGAAAGCTGTACAACCAGTGAAAGCATTTCAAGTGTTAAAAGAGGTTATCACTGGAAAAGAGAACAGATTGGTAGACTTCTGATGAACTATGAATATTAAATGTCAGAGTTAATGTAATAGAATATTAAAAGAATATAAAAGTT